CCACTTAAATGTAGCTTTACTTTTTTATTCCAAAGTCTGTGATCTTCTAAATTCTTTTTTTTGCACTTGTAGTATGACAGGAGACTGTTATTTGGAATATCCTAGAGAAGGCTGTACAACTTCTGACATGCAGGTCAAACCCTCCCCTACTCCCAGTTATGCAAGCTACAGAAAAAAAAAAAAAAACTTTTTTATGTATTTATTCTTTTATAAAACTGTTCCAAACAAAAAAATTGTCAATCCAACTAACCCAAAATGAAAAGCAATTAATGTTGTGCCAAAGTAGCCGAGTCACTGGTAACTTTTTACTACGCGCTTTCTACCATAACTCCTTCCTACCACGAGGTCACATCCAATGGGGGTTTTACACTGTGGCTGTTGATGAAGTATTTATCTTTTAATATAACCATCTTCGATAGGATTAAGAAATTGCACACCTGCCTGATGTGGGATGATAGAGGGATTGGGGGTCAGTCACTCAGTGACCACCCATGAGCTGTACAACACAAGGTCAGAGATGGGAAGTCAGCTGTTCTACAAATGATCTCCAATAATTACCATGGGGTCTGCAGAGTTCACCAAGACATGCCACTTGTCATCTGCATAAGTGATTCTATTCAAATTAGCCAAAATGTATTGTATGTATCACTTGTTTATACAGTGTGACAAAGGGCACTTTCTAGATTAAACAGAACTGTAAACACACTGAGGTCACAATAAGTACAGTGACAGACTGTTGCTTGCTTAGAAGACTGAGAGTCTATATAGGCAGGGTGCTTGCTGAATAGCTGAATCCAACAGGAATTGGTTTGGGGGATTTTTGTTGAGGAAAGAGAGAGCGTGAAAGAGCGCGAGAGAGCATGAAAGAGCGTGAAAGAGCGCGAGAGATTGCGAAAGAGAGCGTGAAAGAGAGCGTGAAAGAGAGCGTGAAAGAGAGCGCGAAAGAGAGCGCGAAAGAGAGCGCGAAAGAGAGCGCGAAAGAGAGCGCGAAAGAGAGCGCGAAAGAGAGCAAAAGAGAGCGCGAGACCCATCAACCACCAGCACATTGTAATTATGCCACTACGCCCTTCTAATACACAGCAATAAGTAGCATTTTCAGAATCGGCTGCAGCGGTCGCTCAATATTAAAACATATTGCACTGCACACGATCAATAAAAACAAAGTACGGAAACAAAAAAATGCTTTTACAGGTTTTGGTTCCATTGCGCCTTTCTACCTTCATCCTGACAATTGTAACTGCTTCCACTTCCAAATATTACTGTAGCTTTAAACAGTCCCAGCCGCCCTCCTTCTTGGAGTGTACAGCATTTTTTGGGTGAGAAAGCATATTCCACTTGGAAAGCATAAATTCATCTTTTTGGCAAGCTAACAGAAGCCACATTGCAAATATTTGTTTCATGAATGAAATTACTCACCACCAGGTCTGAAGTACAAACACCATACTTGACTGGCTACATATATATATATATATATATTATCGATAGCCTGACTCATGTTACATTTCTGTATTAACCTTATTCATACATCATTACCTTCTAATTTAAGGGTCAGTGTGCAATCCAGCTAGTGATATTAACCCCGTCTACCTCCCTATTTTACCTTCAAAACACAACACACAAGTTATTTACACAGTGCACTTTAAAGGGGAACTATCCTGAAAATGGATATGTTTTAGCATATATTAATAGTTACAACATTTTAGGATGATTGTCCTATAGTTAAAAATAAAATAAAAAGATAACCTCCTGGTTATTTGTGTACCTTCCAGTCTGAGCTGCTATGTCCCCGGATTATTCTACAGACAGCAGTCAGTCTGTCTGTCTGTTTGGATCAGTGGCAGCAGCCTGACAGACACTGCTTAGAGGAGGCACTTGCCCTCGCTCAATGAGAGGTGGAAGAATAAAGACCCCAGTATAGGTTACACTAAAGTCATACAAACCACGCACAGTGGAATATTAATATATACTGCATTATGATAAAATTAAATCATAATATGTTCCCCATAATAATCCCACTTTAAGAGAAATACAATTTTAATTTCTTTGATTCATTATCTCTGATAAATTTGGTGATAAAAAAAAAAATTCCTAATGTATTTTAAATTAAATATTTTAAAAATATGGAAGGTTCCAAAAAAAAAAAAAAACTTAAAAAAACATTGAAAGTTGTTCAAGAATTTTTTATACCAAATTATAGGCCATATCCACAGTTCAGGTGGTAAGTTGAACAATTTCTGAAATTAGAAAATACTATTTTGTTTTTAACTCCCCCCTCGATCAAGCAATGTTTTAGTCCAATCATTTCAAAATCTCAGATTATTGAAAAAAGTAAGAGTGAATGAATAAAATGAAAGCAGTTTTGTTGAATGCCAGAATATAGATATAAATTAAACAGGCTTGTGAAATCAATTCAGCACAGATAGAAGGAAAAATATACACAGTGAAAAAAATTTAATTATCAGGAAAAAGAGAGATATGATCAAAATGCACCACAAACCAGGATGGGGTATAACCCACCTAAGATAAATGGATTGATGTGAACGTTTTGTGTATAGGCTGCATAAAATTTAACGTGAATGGCAACAAATTTAAAAAAATAAATAAATAAAACTGGGGGGGAAAAAACATTAAGATGTAAAAAATAAGAAATGTAAAAATATAAATAAATTACATTTAAAGAAATAAAAGGATAGTTTCTATTATTTATTACACACTCTGCTGTGTTGTACAATGGGCTGATGCATGTAATCAATACTTCAGATTATTATTGACTGCAATTATAAAGGAGCATTGTAAATGTGATAGATGGCCAGGTCTGCTTTCAGAAGTGGTCCTGGTGGTAGGAATCTGTGTGTGCAGTGCTGTACGGATGCATATACAAGCTTAGAACTAGCACAGTGACCAAACATTCTATATTTAGAGTTCCGTCCGTGGCACTATACGGAGAGGTGATCGATGGCTATGGTACAGCCACTAAATGTTGATTTTATTCACGGACCAAGTGAGAATTGGCTAATAGAGGTGGGAAAAAAGGAGGAACAGAAAAAAATATATATTTATTTTTTGTTTCTCCTCTATTGGTTACCTTTTCTCACTTGAATAGGTTTTTTATTAACGGTGTTCGGCTGAGGGTATAATATTCCAAACTAAATTTCAATTTTGTGAAAAACGATTTGTCCGACTCAATCAATCCCCAATCAATGCACACATCTAGCGCCTACATCACACAGTCATTTCTCTCAATGTATATAATGAGAATGGACAATATTAATGTTCTTGCTTCAGCTAACATTGCCCCTTCGCTGCACCCAGGGAAAGTGGATTCCATTAGGGGCACTTTAGAAAGTTTGTTTATAGTGACAGATGAAAGTAATGAACATCCCTGGATGAACTTTAGTAAATAGCTTCTGCTGCCGTCACAGAGGTCACTTCTTCCACTGCGTTTCCTAAACTCATTTATACATGTTTAGAATTCTACGGTGTCAGAAACATTTATCTTTAAGGTGCAATCTGCTATTAGCCAACACGGAGACCTGTTTTACGGTGAGTGCTCGGAATACGTGTGTTTATTTTTTCAGTATTGTTTGTATTATGTCCGATATCTTTTACAACATTACCATCATTGATTAAATGATTTTCTAATATTAAGGTGAATTCACTGAAAACTGTGGACTGTGAGATTGTGTTTTTTTGGGGGTTTTTTTTCTTCAGAATTTAGCCACTGGGGCATAAAATCTGACATTTATTTTGATATAATTTAGAAGTTTACAGTTTAGTGAATATTCCTAAGTAGGACCATCGTGACTTTATTATGCTGAAATGTTTTATGTGTGAAGTGTGTGGTTTTTTTTTCCATTTTACAAAAACTGCAGATTTCAATAGAAACCTACACTTTTATAAATTAACCTGGTTACACCCCCAGGCTGTCAATCAGACGACTGTTCCTGTTACTTCCTGGTTTGGTTAGCTCAGTGGAGAGAAACACAAGAAGCAACAATTGCTCAGAGCACCTGCCTTGCCAAGACTTCTCATTGAGCTGCATTGAGAAGTCTGTGATTGGACAGCCACAGGAAGTCTGGGTGGGGTTAGAAGGGGAGGGCTTGCAAATGCTGCAGACAAGAGATTTGTAGCTTTTGCAAGCATTTTTTTTTTTTAAATATAACCCCCAGTGGAAAAAAAATGCATATATAAATGCATGCATGTTTTCATTTGGATTATACCTACTAAATAATGAGTTTTATATTTTATTTGGGCAATGGAGAGTCCCTTTAAAGCTGCTTTGTCACTTTTTGGTTTCATCACTTGTTATTAGATCTGTCATAAGCCATTGTGTTGCCTTCATCCAAGGACAAAATGGCCCCATGACTATAGAAAAAATACAAACCATTATAACATCCACATACATTGCAAAAAAAAAACAACAACCCACAATATATATATATATATATATATATATATAAATAAAATACACAAGATCAGCCTCCCCGTTTCACACACATTATATATATATATATATATATATATATATATATATATATATATATATATATATATATATATATATATATACATATACACATATACACACACATATACATACACACACACACACTATATATCAGCCCCCATTCATATTTAAAATTAATCTGCGTCTTCCCTCAGTAGATACAGTAATATCTCTTATCTCACTGCTGATATATCCCATAATTCCAAGTCCTGTGCTGCTAGCCAGAAAAAATGATTACTTGCCACAACAAACCTCCACCTGCAAAAATGATTACTTGCCACAACAAACCTCCACCAGCACGTACAGTCATCCTGCCCACACATAGTCAACATTTAAGTAAACCTAGTCGCTTTTCCAGATTCACACGGTCACACCACAGAAACTCAATTTGAAAAATTAGTGGAGTTTGTCCAAGTATCAATATGGACATTTACAATACACTGGAAGTTGTACAAATAAATAAATGAAATTGATAACTTTAAAGAGCAGAAAGCGAGTTGTATGGATATTACATACTTGTCACTTTAAATCCAGGCTGCATTTTCTGTAATACATTAGAGTGAGTTAGTAAGAGTTTGGAGTTATTTTACATGGGATGTCCAGACTCAGAGATCCTATTAAATGGGTCACTTCAGAAATTAGGATTAGATATATAGATAGGAGTAGACTGAGCAAAGCTGAGGAGTTGCTCTCAAAAACGTATCCAGACAGCCATCATTCATTATCAGTAAGTCAAAACATACACACTCACTTATTCACAGTTACACACACACACATACATATACACTAACCAACAGACACATACACACTCACTGACAAGACACACATGCATACTCCCTGACAGACGCTCACTCGCTCTGTGTCACACAGATACTCCCTGACAGATACACACTGACGAGCACACAGACATACTCACTGACAGGCATATATAAACTCAGTGTCATACACACAAATTCACTGACAAACACACACACACACACACACACACTCACTGACAAACACATATACACTCTCAATGACAGACACACACACACACTAACAGACACACTTACTTTATTTTTGCTTACATTTTGGTGGATTTTTCCCTGTAGTCCAGTGGGGCTGGCTACAGCTCGGCAGATGGTCGGGCATGTAGGCGCTGAGTGAAGGTGGACAGTGAGGGAGATCGAATCTCCCTGCTCAGCTTCATTGCGCGCCTCTCAGTGATGCCGTAGTGACGTCATATTCCGGCTCAGGCATCACTGCGGTGCATACGAGGGAGCTGAGCAGGAAGAGCTCAGGGGAGAGTGCTCCCTCGCCACCCGCCTACATCAGTGCATGCCAGCCTCTGGGAGGTCCTGTGGTGGCCAGTCAACCTGCTCTCTGGTCTCCCGGGACAAGAGGCTTGCAAGGCATTTGTCAGGGCGTTTGGGGGGGTTCCCCTCTTAAAGTGCCGCCCAAAGCAAATGCCTGGTCAGCCTCATGCTAAACACAGCGCTGTGTAGGAGGAAAAGGAGGAGGACTTGTAGTTTTGCAGTGCTGCATAGTGTATGCTTACAATATTAGTGGAAATTTGAAAGATAATCCTTCTCCCCTGACATTTTTTTAAATCAGTCAAAAAATTCCTCTCTAAATTCTGCGGTTTCCGTAGATTGCTTGTTTATCTCGTTGTCACAATCATACAGAAGAATGATAAACTGAAATGAAAGCCAGTTGCTTATCTTTCTAGCTCCACTAGAAGTTTGTAAATGGTCTCCAGAAATCGAGTTAACCACATCCCTTACTATCCGCCCCTATCTCGTATCACTGAAAAATATCAGGGAAGATGTGTGTATTATTTTTATTTGAGGGACAGATCATGTGTCATGTTTACACATGGCAAATACATTGTACAGCGGGAGAAGGGTTAAGTAATAAAGTCATAAAGTGATAAACTAGTGGCCTTGTTTCACTGTTTTTCTGTAGATGAATAGAGATATAATATGAAGAAACAGGAAATTCACTGCACACACGAAAAAAGTTACACATGCTTACTGTAAAATTTAACTCTTAAAGGGCAAGTGGACTTTCATAAACAAATTAATCCCAAGAGTAATCCAAATCACATTTTTGAAATTTTATAAAATACCATTTAACATATTATATAACATATTTCAATTTTTTTCTTCACATTGATGACGTCTGCTGGCAGCCATTTTAAGACATAAATATAACATAGGTGCCAACTGTCCCAGATTTCAAGATGTAGGAGGAAACTGACTGCTACAAACTTGCACAAAGCACTCCAGTTGTACTCTATGTATCTTCTGCCATAATGGGGCTCAAAAAGTCTAAAGAAATATCCATTTATTTGCCTCTTATTTGTATTTTCATTGTAATTAACTATACTTAATGGGGATCCCTGACATTTGGCCTGAGATAATTCTTTCAAAAGGATCCAAGCGGATTCCATAGATATAATTTGAGTCATTAAAAGTTAAGGATTTTAATCAACTGTGAAATCCTTAGAACGAGGTAAAGTTGTACGAGAATAACAAAATTACAGTAAAATCCAGACAACACCACTAACTAGACTTGTTAAATTTGCATTTCGTGCAGTTCGAACATTCGGATGCTTACAAATGTCCGAAGTGCCAAACCAAACCGCCAAAGTTCAGTAGTGCCGAACCAAACTGAATACCATTGGTCCGAATTGCCGAAACAAACAATTTTTTTTTTACTTACCCAAATTTCCGAACCAAATTGTTTGCCCATGCACATCCCTACCACTAACTCAGCGCAATATCGAATGCATCTAGTGGCGGTCTGTATGACAGTAACTAGAGATGGTTAAATTATGGTATGTACCACTGCACCAAGACCACTTTATTGAGCTGAAGTGGACAGGGTGACTTTAGTTGCCCTTTAATCACTACAAACACAGGAAGAAAGGTTGTATGAAAGGAAAAAGAAAAGAAAATAAATACAATAAAAATATCAAATTCCTTTTCTGAGCAGCTTACAGAATAATTACGTGTGACTTTCCAACACACGGTTTGGTTGAACTTTTTATCTTAAGTGACATACATTATTAGATAGGTAACGATTTAGATAAGAACATAATTTGTAGAAAAACACTGTGGACAGGTTCAAACTCCCACCTGTTTTGGACAGATCAATGAAAAGTTCTTCGCTTTGTCCTCTGGGTGTTTTTTTTTTTTTTTTTGAAACGTTGCAGAACGTGGCTGAACTTTGAGACTTCTAAGTTTATTCAGCGATTATTATTAACTTGCGACGAGAGGCTATCGATCTACATCAATTGAATGAGGCACAGAGAATTCAGGTACTCTTCAATGATCGATGGTTTTTGTTTTTATACCACCATAAATTATTTTTTAATAACCCACAGGAAATTGGCGGCCATCACAAAGAAAGCCTGCCAACTTTTATAAGACTCTTAAGTGGTTAATATCTAATTAACCTTTTCAGTGCCAGGTCTTGGAAATACAGTTAAGGATACTTTGGTGGGAATGGGGTCATGTACTCATAACCAATCTAATATTGTATTACTCAAATAAAATTATAGCATGCCTAAAGCATATGTTTATTTAATAAGGAATTGACACTTTGAAGGTAATGTCATATTTAAGACATTTAAAATGCAGGTATTTGTTGTGCATCTAATATTTGTGGGGTTATAAACAAAAATAAGTAAATAGAACCACAACAACAACAGTTCTTCTAGACTTGGCCTGTGACTAAACGTGCATACAGGGAATTGTGGGGGGGAAAGTATCACAGAGGATCATAAAAAGGATGGAAGCACGTCACCAGGATGTAAGTTTTTAACATCCCTCCAATGTAGATCTTATTCCAATAAAGGATTCATTAACAATTACTAGAGTGAGGGCAGGCCAAATAGTATGGTAGATAAGTACCAGGATCCTTGGTCATTGTCCTCTGCAGTCCAGTCAGTCTGAGAACAGAGCTGCAGGAACAGTTATAGTTTGTGTAAAACTCAGTGTTTTCCAGTGGCGGATCCAGGGGTGGGGCAACGGGGCAATTGCCCCCCCCGAGAATACCGACGGTCTCCCTCTCCCTCCCCTGCCAGCCCTGCAATGTGCCTGCGGACCGGATGGGAGATCACAGATCTCCCTCCCCGGTCTGCAGGCACTGTCCTGACAGCCGGCAGGGGAGGGAGAGGGAGTGAGAGAGAGGACCCGGGAGCTCAGCCTGCAGCTCCTCCGGGTCCTCCTCTCGCGAGATTTGGAGCGTTGCCGCGGTTACCACGGCAATGCTCCAAATGTCGCGAGAGTGAACTCTAGCCCGGGAGCGTGGGCTAGAGTTCACTCTCCCCACTGGGACCACCAATGAATCCCCACCAGACCGCCAGGGAAATGTCCCCCCTCCCCCCAGTAAAGGTAAGAAGGGAGGGGGGACATAGAATATTTATTTAAATAAAAAAAATATATATATATATATTAAAAAAAAAGCCCCCATACCCTTATATCACACACACACACACTGCCCCCATACACACACACTGCCCCCCATACACACACACTGCCCCCATACTGCCCCCTCATACACACACACTGCCCCCATACACACATACTGCCCCCATACACACACACACACACACTGCCCCCATACACTGCCGCCCCATATACACACACATTGCCCACACTCACACATACACTGCAATACTCACACACACACACTGCAACTGTTACACACACATACTGTCCCACACATACACTGCATCCCTGACATACACTGCCGCTCTCACACACGCTCACACACTGTCCCCCTCACACACACACTGCACCCCTTACACATTGCACCACTCACACACACTACTGCTCCTATGCACTACTACAGCCCCATTTCCCAGCAGACCTCAGGTAAGTTGTCACACTGTTCTTAAACGGTTTGACTACTTACTCTGGGAGGGGGTCCCGGCACTATAGACACCATAACCACTACACTGAGCTGTAGTGGTTATTGTGTCTGGATTATTTCTTTAAATAATCTACAAGTGCCCCTCCCGAGATCAGGCTCTGGATCCGCCACTGGTGTTTTCCCAGTTCCTCCAGTGTCTGTGTGTGAGACTGGACAGGAAGTGGAAGGAATCACTTCCGATCTGCCCTCTAACAGCCTTTCACACAGGAAATGCCTTGCAGGGGGAGCAGGGGACATCACTGAGTGATGCACACTGTATAACAGCTACAATAGCTCTGCTATCATAGGAGCCTGACTGGACTACTGAAGACTTTGCAAACAAACCTTCAAGATCCACATACTCTAAGCTACCTTTGACCTAACACAAAATTTAACCTCTCCCAAAATCTAAACAAACCCTGTTTGTCTGATTTAAGCACTCAAGTTCTAAAAAAAATCGCATTTCCTTAATCCCAGATTAAACTCCTCTTGAAAAACATATACTCCAATACTAATGTAATCCCTCTTACCCCAAACTCGATAATCCTAAACACCCATTTACCACAACTGTAAACTTTTTCAAATGTTTAATCTTCTCAACACTTTTCTTTTTTACATGTACAGTAAGTCCAAAGAAACATAAATGAGTCCAATCCTTTTTTAAAGCAGAGCTGTGAATTCTGATTTCTTCCATAATTGTGTCTCATTGTGCATGCGCACAAGGATCTATAGAGGATCCTCAATCTTGTGGGACCTTCAATGGAAACCAGAGTTGTATTCACTCATTCACAATAAGACATGGCTTAGAACTGACTGGAGCTAAAGACCAGAAGATGGCAGGAGGGAGATCTTCAGATAATTCCTTCCCACTCTCCCCAAGGTTTCTTCTCCGAAATAGAAAAAAAATGCAGAGAGCCTACAAGTGACCACACTGCATTAAGCGACTGGTGAGGATTTTTATAATGACAAGCAGAGGGCCAATTAACAATATCTTTTTTTTTTTTAAATAGTGTGAATATTAAAACAAACATTCTTCAGATTAAGTTGTTCTAAAGGTGCCACGGCCACTGTGTCACCAAGTCAACGAGCTCTAAGAGAATAAAACCAAACAGACCGGGCAGTTCGTTCTTCCTCCATGTCATGGCAACAAAGAATTTCAGCAAATCAGTGCCCACTCCTTGTGTCACATGACTACAAGCGAAGTATTAATCTGACCACAGAGAATAAAATTTGGCAAAGGGAAAAATATATTTATGTACAATATGTGCAGGGCGGTCCATAGGAAATCTTCCACTTAGGGGTGGATGAGATTTAGCAAGGCCATCTCACTTCCTGCACCGTGGTGTGACCAGAGCCAGGACAGGTCTCTTAACAGGTATGGTGCTATTATAGGCTGAGGGAACCATAACTAAGGTATTTATCTATTAAAGTTTAATTTGGGGCTTCTATCCCAAGATAGACAAGCAGTGATACTTTGTCTTGGGGTCCTCTTTTGGTAAACCAAGCAGGAGTTTCGGCTCTATGAGAGCTGTGTATGCGCCGAACTCAGAAGCAAGCATTGTAGAATGGGGCTATGTTGCAGCATTTTGCAAATTAATTTATTTTGCAAAACCTACTCAGGTTCAAACATGCAAAAACAATGTTGTGCTGGTGCCCTTAGACCAGGATTAACCCTAAAGTGATACTAGGCAACACTAAGCGTGTAAACTCATTGAAGATAATTAAGATATTTCTCTTTAATAAGCATAGTGATGCCTGATGTGGAACATTTTTTAAAGAATATTCTTTTAGAATGGTACAGTACAAAGTTGAAAATTAAAAATTCTCTAACTCGCTACTTTTACCAATAATTTAGATTTGGCTTGTTAATGCTCTATAATTTCTGTTTTTATTGAATAAATCCAAAAGGTTGTTTTTATTCACCAACATAATTTTGTGCCAAAAAAGAGCAAAGTGGAGAATACATAAGATTCTCTCCAATTTTACAAATGTAGCATAAATATGCAGTTCCCTTGTCAGTTCTTTCGCTCTGTCTTCACAAAATATATTGAGGTTCCCTACCTGCATGGGAAAAATTAAACAGCTGCTTGAACTTGGGTACAATTTCGGAATCCGAAATCCCTATTACCTTATTGCGGTGTCAGTTGTACTTTGACATTCAATTATCCGCAATTCAGGAAAAGTGTTAATCACATCACAACCTACCTTGAAATTCTCAATAAAGAAAGGTTAATTTCCTTTTATCCTGATGAGTTTATTGCTCGGCCGTTGATAAACAAAGCACTAAATGGATAGAGTAATCTTTGGATCTCTATAGGTTTGGGCTGAGCAAGTTCTATCTAAATCTCCTGTTTGTTACTTAACACTGTGGGAAAGGAGAGGATCATAAACCTCTAAATATAAATAGGTTCCAAAGAATAATAATTACCATTAATGGTTATCGGAGCCATTTACAATGATAGGGCTCTAAATAAATTAATAAAGGCTGTTAACCTACAGGTTTGCACTCCTAATAGACCCATCAAGGGAAAGAAAAAACAACAACATTGATAGAGTATATAAATTAGCCGTAGGTGGTGTCCCTACTGTGACGCAATTTGATACATTTATGTAGAGAATTAAAGGAACACTCCAATCACCATAACCACTACACATTGCTGTAGTTATTAGAGTGCCAGGAGTGCCTGGCATCCCCATTCTAAGTAGCCAAACCAATTTTGAATGGTTAGGCTTCTTACATGGGGTCCGCCTCGTGCCACTCTCCGCCTCCAGCACTAGAGAGGCGGTAGCTGCTAAGCCGGAAATTCCGTTAGCTCCTTTAACGATAAAGAGGTAAGGAAAATAGACAAGGGGTTAATAAAAATGTAACTTTTACTGGTATAGGATAAAAAAAATAAAATAAAAAAAAAGATAAAAAATAAAAATAGATCTGTACAAGAATCTGTACTACATAATATCTAGGAAGGAAGTTTGGTACAGATTTTCTTTATCCTAAAATAATATGTCACGTTTTCTAAATCACCTTGTGTTTCGTCACCTCTTTAGGGTCAGGAACAGATTCTCTAATTTGCGATGATGGCTAGAGGAGTGGCCAGACGGTTTGTTCCAGCCTTAATTTTCTAACTCTTATTACCTAAATATTCATTAATTGCAGCAAATTAGGGGGTCTGGTCAAAATGATGGATCACTCAAAGCAACCACAGTGAAACCTCAAAGTTCTACATCAGCATAACTGAAGCTGTTCAGGAGAATGAATAAGGAATAATTTAACCCAGGATTATTTAGGGGAGAGGGCATGTGTTTGCGATCATAGGCAGTAGGGATTCAGTGCAATCGGCCTTTACTAAAAAGCCCTTCACGCCAATGCCCAGATGGATGTGAGAATAAAAATGATCAATCTAACCTGTAAGACTTTGGATGAGGAAATAGGAGAAAAAAAAGATTGCGACACCCGCTAATATGGATTCTAGAGAGCCTCGATGGAGCATTGATTTAAAAGTTCAGCCATTACCTCTCTTTTTACTTTAGAACCTGCTTATTTTAAATTTCCTAAAACCAATGTATGGGGTGCCAGGAGAGGTGGCAGCCAGTCCTGACCCCCCTTTAAATATTAGTGAGTCAGGAGTGTGGTTTGTTTAGATGGTACAACCAATTGTTATGTTTGTATTCAACATAAATGGGGGGGTGCCATATTTCAAGAACTTGCTCCAGACACAGCATCCCACTGCGTGTCCAAGAGAATGGTGGGAAAATTCGATTTCAGAATGACTGTTTACAGCAGTTTTTATTTCTGCGTGAGATTATATTCTAATATATAGGAAGCTTACAGGATGTTCAGCGATGGCAGAATTCTATAACCAGAGACGTTTGTATCTGGTTAAATTGAATCGATCTAGATGATGTATTGTTTTGTAATAAATAATAGAATAAATTTCATACACTAGTTGTAAAACGCCACAACAATTCCACCACCACCTGGACTTGGACTCAAAGATCAAAATAAGTTATATGTATAGATAAAAATAAGTTTAGATATTGTAATGGAGTAGAAAGGCTCCCATTATCTCTAAGAAAATGACTATTCATTTTCCAATAAATAAATAAAAAACTTCTCTGGCCATAGTATGTAGTCTCTGGGGAGCAAATGTTCTATCATGTCATATCATAATGGGTGCATTAAATGACCAATAACCAGACCCATGATGCCACAAGTCAGGGGTAGGCAAAATTGGCACTTTAGATGTGTACTACATATCCCAAGATGCTTTGCTGGCATTACAGCTGTAAGAACATTATAGTCCACAACATCTGGAGAGCCGAAGGTTGCCTACCATCCTTCCTTAAATGCTTGATCCACTGGTGGACCACCTCTGGACCTTACTGAGGTCACAAATGTTTTTCAAAAAAGCAAGTAGAGAACTCAATGTGGTCACTCTATAAGATGTACTCATGTGAGGAGCGTGAATCAGCAATATTAGATAGAATACAATCCTGATAGAATAAAAGCCATTCTTCTAGGTCATTTTGATGGCTCTTGGAGGGGGGGCGGGGGATATGAACAAGGAGACACAGTACAGAGCATCCACCAGGAGTGAATTTCTCATGGATACTATGTTGCTCCTACTTGCAATCATTCGTGGAAACATTCCTAAAGGGCCTGGTACCTATAGTTTATTGGAAAAGAAAGGTGACGGTACCTCTATACCTTTCTTCAATAAACAAACACTACCATGGAAGCCTTTACTGACTTGAAGTGTACAGCAGAGGTAAGTAAATAAAGCACACTTATCTCCACACATCTCATCAGGAATCAGTGCTCCACTCATCTTACACCTCATCTTCCCAAAAATCCCTGCATGCACATCACAGTCTGTGTACAGAGAATGCATCCCGGATATCAAGCTGGGCCCTCAGCAGATGGCTTTTTGGTTTAACAAGTAACAATTCTATTTTATAACTATAAACAAAACATATCCAAACTTCCCCAAAACTACTGTCAGCACCGGCTACTTTAAGTCAAATAATTACTTTCCAGGTTTTTCCTGATATGTACCAGAAAATGCAAAAATTACAAAGTTAAAAAAATAAGATATTGCAGATCGTTCTAAATTTCGTTTTTTTAAAAAGGACATAACAAAATTCATGGAAATTCATGTTCGTTTCACTTGCATTCATCTGATACATTGAAACACCCCATGTGAGCTCTGTGGGTATAACTAGTTTATTTCACTATCTCTACAAAATACACTTACTACAGATCTGACAACATCATTGCCTCCCAAATGTTTATCTTCTACGAAATTAACATGCTTACCCCCTGAAAAGCTTCCCTTTTCTCTCAAAGTGCATCTGCTTAACATAATTAGATTTAACGGTCATTGTTTATTGACGTCAACAAGACCCATCAGTTAGATAAAATGTCCCTGTCATTTACAGGAATTGGGTCATTCTGCAGTAGATGTGATGGTCACAAGTCTTTAGAACAATAAATCACTCATTGTCACTAGACGTGCATGGAGGAAAAATATGTTTAAGCAGAACCTGATGCTTTGACTTGTCCGAATATAATCATGGAAAAAGATTTAGGAAAATAATTTGGACAAAATATTTTGCGCAAACGTGGGTCAGTCCATGTACTGAAAAATATTTAAAAAATTATCGATTTGCTTAAATTCAAACGAAATTCCATTTGGCCAAAACCGAACGCACAGGTCTGATTGTTACTTTCACAACCAGACACCCTGTATACTGCACTGTAAACACCTAATTTGTAAATATTATTTTTATGTTGTAAAGGCGAGGAGCTGGAGTGGATAATTAGATTGCAAGAGATTACAAATAATTTAGAAATGTATATATAATTAAAGGAAAGGACGGAAACGGTGTCCGCCTGTGATGACATGTTGAACCCAGAGGATTGCCTGGGATCTGAGTTGACGTCTAACCAACAGCTTTGAAGACGCCTGTGCAAAGCAAAGAGACAACCATCAGCAAAGATACACGCCAGTTTATAAAGGTCAGGGACTAATTCTTTTTAAAAAGGACATAACTGAATTCATGGAAAAATGGATAAGGGACCTCCTTATGCCATAACTTATACTGGAATTCTCAGTGTTTATGGTCATTGACCTGTCCCTTGAAAGAGATTTTACACTGAATGTCCGCTAACATCGGAGTATCACAATGTAAGAGATTCATTTTCTACAAACTGTATATATGTTATGTTTGAATGACTTTTGATAAAGGGCGAAAGAAGTTTCAGAATCCAACTAAGCTATATCACTCAAGATGCCAATGTTTGGATCGGTCGCCAAAAGTTTGGTTTTCCATCTTTTACAATGAATTACATGGATTACTAGATAACAGCAAAGGCCACATATGTAAATTAACATTTTTTAAAGGGGCAGATCGAAATAAACATGTCATCACATGTCTCTCCTCTGCTAGACTGTAAGCTTGTTTGAGCAAGGTCCTCATCAACCTATCGTTCCTGTAACATTTTGTAATTGTCTCATTTGTTTTCAAATTCCCCCCCTTTTTAAATATTGTAAAATGCAGTGGAATAAGTTGGCGCAACATAAATACCAATATTAAAGTCAATAAAAAACTAATTTGATACAATAGTCTCAACAATGCAAATTATCGGGTGCTAACCTATACCGTACATTAGGAATAGCGATTCTTGCCAGAGCAGAACAGTCCCTGTCCTCTTAACCCTGCAATGTTTACAGTGGCTGTCAGTATGACCTTCACTAGAGACACTGCCACTGCACTGACCAAGTTTAACGTGGTTACGTGATGTGGAAGCCCCATAAAAAAGCATTGATACACTGCTTTCCTATGGAAACCTTTGAATGCATGCGCAGCATTTTCCTATGTGAGAGAATTAGAATGGAACATCGCGGAGGAGCCATGCCTTCTCAGTGATGTCGTACGAAGTGGGTGGGGGGGGGGAAGGACACTAATATGCGTTGGAAATACAGATTTGTATTCCTAAAGCTACAGTGTTCCTGCAATAGGACTAGACCTCGTTATTCACTAAAACTTGAATTGTACGGGATTTAAGGGGATTTTAAACTTAATTTCAAATTTTAGACAACAACGGCCAAACTGAAAGCACGGGGGATGTGGAAAATGATTCCAGCTTTAGACGTTTCACCTCAATATTTGAAATTCTTTGATTTAACTTTTAATTCCTCAGAATGATCCTGAAACATGGCTTCCCATAAAAACAGAACATTTTTTAGCAACAAACTTGTTCAGCGAAGTGATGAGCGGAACATTTAAAAACACAATTTAATATTTTTTTTTTTTTAAAGTAGATTTAAAGATGAATTAGGAGTTTCTTGAGTTAGTTTTTGTGCAAAACTTAAAACAACTTGTAGAGTGTTATTACCAATAATCAGTTTAACTGTACGAATGTCATTAATCATTAAAAAAATAGAGGACGGAAATAACCAAACAACGACGGTAACCTACTACCCGGCTTAAACAGGACTCTAATATGAGCATTAACCAACTGAGCCACTTCTGTAGACAGTGTGTCCCTCTCACTGCAGAGCTGCTAGAGGGGCAATTATGGCTGGATATTACACTCTCTGCACCCCCATAAACATGGCTAACATGCCATAAATGATATATTCTATGTAACCAAATGCACTGATAAAAAAATTAAATGCGTAAAATAAAATTATTTCCTGTTCGATTAATTCAAAATAAAAAATGCCAAATAACACGTTACACAATTTCTTTCCATGGAGACTTGGCATCCTGAACTGCCAACAGCGCTGATTCTCCCAAGTTGACATATTCAGAGTAAGGTGGAGGGGACTGAAAATATTACTCTAATCTTGGACACTGGTTCTTAAAGGGATATTATAGTGCTAGGAATACAAGTCACTGTAAACCCTAATTGTACTTACCCGATTTCAGCGCCGATCTCCCTTGGTGCTCTGCTTCTTCTGACATCACCCGACGAGGGGGGAGGGGGGGAGATACTACTGAACAGCGAATGTCATGTAGCAATGCTTTCCTAGGGGGATCTTACTGATGCTTCCTGTCCTCATGTAGAGCGTGAGGACGTCCAGAGTCAGTTAGGCAAACAAAAGTCGCCTAGCAAGCAGGAAGTGCTTCTAGTGGCTGATTGACAGCCACTAGAGGCAGTCTTAGTCCTGCAAGGTAATGACTGTGGTTTCTCTAAAATTACAATGATTTACATTGCAGGACTAAGTAGGACAGGGACAGTGCACCCAGACCACTTCAATGAGCTGAAGGTGTCTGGGTGCCTATAGTGTCCCTTTAAGCTTTTATTGACGGGACCCAAATTACCCTCTTGGCATTCCTCTGGAAACCTATTCTTCAATTTTAAGTTTACCTCAGTGACCCATTCTTTAATTGTCATGTAGTTTAGTATCAAAATATATTATGCTCTTGGTTACAAAGTGGTCTTCGCTGATCTGGGGGAAGCAGTGTTCTCACAGAAAACATGTTATTCCGGTCAGTTGTCTGAGGTCAGAAAAAAATAATGTGTTTGCTATTACCAATAGGGATCACCTGAAGCAGCACAGGGCCCCCAATTTTACATCATGAACCAGAGTTCAAGAACCACTGAACTATGAAGACAAGGGATTTTGCTTAGTTTATATTTAATCTGTTTTTATAAATATTGGGAGATCCACGGTTTAGCAAAGAAATCCCAAAGGCACAGAATACTAAACAGCTTATACTATATAAAGGAGACTGACCTGATACGGCTTCTTTAAAAATGTTATCAACAATATTGAATAATAGAAGGGCTTTCGCTCTTCAACAAGTCAGGTCTTAGGAGTTTATGGTGTAGACTGACAGTCAAGGCAGGGCTGGCATTGGCAGTGCAGGGCGAAGGGTAATTGCCAAATCACTATTATAGAGCAGGGGTAACCTTGCACACTCCAGATGTTGTGGACTACATCCCCCTTTATGCTTTGCCAGCACTACCTATGTAAGAGCATTATAGAACATGCCCAAGGTTGCCTGTCCCTGTTATAGAGAGTATAGTGGGCTCATCCCCGAGGCATGATAATATATTATTTATTGAGGAGAAAACATCTAGTTGGCTAATTCGCTAGTGATGTGCAGGTTCTAGAATAAACTGGCAGAATATTGAACCTGTGCCCAGAATCCAAGGTCACATACTGAGGCCTAAACCGCTAACTACATTGTGCCTTCTGGCATTCCATATAACTAACAAGCCCAGCATGCTCAGTCAAGCGAAGCATGATGGGAGTTCAAGTTATAAGACAGGAAGAAAAATGTGATTATTGTTTTGTATTGTCATCCTGACATTAGGAGAACGGTCACCTGGCCACCAGGTGTAGACTTTCTCCCATATCAGAGAAGGGAACTGGAGGAAAGTTTAGAAGGTGTGAGAACTATTAATACCAGATGTAATTATTATTGCAGTTAGTTATAGAATATGATCCAGTTACAATTTATAAATCTATATAGAAGCCAAGTGCTAGTGAGCTCTGTATAGAGAATAAGGAGAGAGGAGCAGGTAGATCTGGTGCAGGACCAAATGAGAACCCAAAATATACAGTTACAGCTAATGTGCAGGAGGGCTTCCTCTAGGCCCGTGGAGGGGGTGGGCTGTATATTTGGGAGTTCCTTCACTCCATGTATCATTGCACTCAGGCACTGTGTATATCACATTGGAAAGGACTAAGAATGTTCTCATTAACCAGAATAACTGCATATTTAGCATTGACACATATATAGCTGTTTAACATCATTTAAGTATTTGTCTAATTATATATATATATATATATATATATATATATATATATATATATATATATATATATATATATATATATATATATATATATATATATATATATATATATATATATACACATACACACACACACACATACATACACACACACACACACAGCAAGATTCTGCCTCTTATTCTAGGAGTTTGTTTTCCAAACTGCCAGCTGTTTACAAAAATAAATACATATAAAAACAGGTAAATATTTGTAAACAGTGCTCAGTTTAGAAAAAAAACTCCCAGAAAATGTGTCAGAATCTTGCTGTGTATGTATGTGTGTGTGTGTGTATTTATAAAACGTGTCAGAATCTTGCTGTGTGTGTATGTATGTGTGTATTTATAAAATGTGTCAGAATCTTGCTGTGTGTGTGTGTTTATATATAAAACGTGTCAGAATCTTGCTGTGTATGTATGTGTGTGTGTGTGTGTGTGTGTGTGTGTGTTTATATATAAAGCGTGTCAGAATCTTGCTGTGTATGTATGTGTGTGTGTGTGTGTGTGTGTGTGTGTGTTTATATATAAAGCGTGTCAGAATCTTGCTGTGTATGTGTGTGTGTGTGTGTTTATATATAAAATGTGTCAGAATCTTGCTGTGTATGTGTGTGTGTGTTTATATATAAAATGTGTCAGAATCTTGCTGTGTATGTGTGTGTGTGTGTTTATATATAAAATGTGTCAGAATCTTGCTGTCATAGTGACACAATATGACACAGTGATACAATGTAACAAACTAACATCCTGGCAGAACAATATTATCCAGACAATTTCACAACTCCAACACAAAGTGACTCATTCCATTCACATCGTATTAATTATCCCAAATTCATTGATCTGGATTTATATTCTGGAAATAAAATGATAGGGATGTTAACGCTTGTGGAGAATTCCATCTCCGATTTTACCGACAGGCTGTATCGCCATATTCCTAAATAGCATTTAATATAGGACGCCGAATAGTGCATTATATTGCCCAGTGCTACCCTTCCAATAATGGGAAATCTATAGCAATTAATCTATGGGGCATATTGACTAAACAGTGGGGCATTCTCCACCCTGACTGAGAATCATTGCAAATATTATGTTATTCTTAGACAGTACACACACACACACACACACAATATATTCTATACACACAAACACACACACACAATGCATTTACAGACCAGAATATATTCTATACATACACACAAATGTTATATATATATATATATATATCTATCTATCTATCTATCTCATAATCATTTAATTGTATGAAAATACATTAAAACACACAGGGCTATATTCAGAAATACTACAAAGATATAGGTTTGGTAAAATGTAAAATATATATATGTGTATGTATATTATTCCGGCTTTCTAGATTTCTGCCTATTGATCACAATTTAGAATAATTTATCGTTGATATTTAGATTTTTCCTCATATATAACTATAGCAATAAACGAGAATAGAACGTTCTAAAATCCATGAAATTACTAGCCCTAATACAATGGTACACGGATTATATAATCCTGAAAGTGAGACTATAAAGAGAATTAGAGGTTTGGCAATGCAGTGAATTATCTCTGCTATTGGTAAAATAATCCAGAACATCATTTTAGTGAGAAAAGACAAGAAAAGCCGATTTGGAGAAATTCACCCAATTGCAAAGTCATTCTGGCGACTTGAAACGAATATTGCAAAATAAATAAATAAATTGAAAAATTAAAATGGAAAAATTGTCAAAAATAGCTGAGCTTGGAATAATAATAATTAAAAAAAAAAAAACTATGTTACAGACACGGCTTAACAATTTTAAGTTCGAATTTTATAATTTGAAATTAAATTTCCTACAATTAGGATTTTAGTAAAATAACCCCGAACTTGCCGTTATCACAATTAAAAGGTTTTATTTTCCTGTAAAATGATGTATTTTATTTTATAATGTCAGAGTGATTTACTTACAGTAAGTATTAAAAGTGGATTTTAAATTGAAGACCAGAGTAGCCGAATTCGAAGTATAGAAAGTAGTGATTTTTTAAAAATTCGGCTATTTTGACCTTAAATTGGAATTCGCGATTATCACCTTAGTAAATAAAAGTGTAAGTGTATCAGTATGTTCCAGATCCGATATTGGCATTTTTATCCTGGTAAGGAAACCGTTTGAATTCTAGATTGGTTTTGGAATTAATTATACAATATTAATGCTCTCCATGTTGTACAGAAAATGTATTAAGTATCCAGTTTGGAGAATGATACACTGTATCTGCTCTCCAGAGTGAGTGCACAGTGACAGATTTATCCTCTCTAGATAACATAATAGCTCTGCTTTCTAGATTACATCCAGAACTGAATATACCTCCTGCTAAGGAGAAAATGTTCTGCTCAGATTGTATAGAAAATTTAATCATTTCTAAGAGTTGATACTATAGTGATACCAAACTTGTGTTCTCCAGATTGTAAGTAAGATTAAATATTTCTCCACTCTAAAAAATGATCTGCTCTCACAAATGTATATAAATGGAAATTATTTTCTAGATAATGATGCAATGTTTCTTCTCTACATATTAAAACAAAGTTAGATCACAACACTGTAATAGATTAATGCATTTAAAAAATAATTATTATTTATATACATACACACACACACACACTATCTTTTCCTCTAAGTTTTTAAAAAGCAATGCAAATTAGTGTTCGATAATTATTTCTGTTCTACCTAAAAAAAAAAAAAAAATAACAGTTTATAACAACACAAATCTTATATCTATGAAATATTTCCGCTCTCCAGATTAAATGTAAGAATTGGTCCAGTCTTTGCAATGGTAATTTAATTATTATGCTATTTCAGGCAATTTTTACATGAATGTCTAATATGTAGATCTTACCTATATTGGGGTGTCTTGGGGTCCCAGGTCCTCCTCTGCTCTGCAGATTGTGCAGCATGGAGCTATCGAAGGGAGAGGTAGTCCAGGCAGCGCCCATATCAGGGCTCACATATGCAGGGTAAGGGCTGGGGTAAGTGGCACTCAGACCCCTGCTATAAGGCTCCCTTCCATTGCTTGAGATGGCCAGGGGGCTGCTGTAAGACACTTCTCTGCTAGAAGGGGCAGAGATAGGGGGACTGGAGGAGAAGGCAAACCTTGGAGACACTGGGGTGTGAGAAGATCCTGGATTGTAAGCGGACTCTGCTCCAGTAGGTGGCCACATGTTGTGGCCTGACACAGGGCTGGCTTGTTGAGATGAGCTGCTGCCTTGAAGGTAAGGTAGGCTTGGGATCATGGAGGACACCCTGCTGGTTGG